CATTCGTGCAGGCAGTAAAATGCACACATGCATCTCTCACAGTCCTCTTGTGCTGCTGGACACGTGAAAGTGAAGGAACACCAACTGCCGAAGTGATTCTTTTTTTATATATTTTGCCTTTGGGGGTTCTGCGTGGATTATTCATTTCCATTCTTCGTCTTCTTTTCTTCTTTTGCTGCCCGGGCGATGCCCGCCGCTGCCGTGCGGGGCCGCGCTTTTCTTAAATCCCTCTTCTGCCGATGTGCCGACACGCTTCTGCGTTGCCTTCCTCTCTTTTTTTCCACTTCTCCTCCCGCACACACGCAGCAGGAAAGAGCCCAAACTCTGCCCGTTGCCACTGTGCGCTTTGAAGGCTCCGAGCTCTCACACCGCACAAGCACGCAACCGTCGCGGCCTGGGCGGATCCACCGCAGGGAGGGAAGGGAAGGGAGAGAGATTGACCCAACATGCCGCGGCATCTGTTTTCCTCCGCGCTGCTGATTATTTCCTTGTTGATATGCTGCGGCAACAGTGGCGCGTCTGCTAGTGACCAAAGGGATGCCATGGATCCGTTTGCCGGGACGACGGATATTCCTGCTGCCGCATGGGAAGGCGTTGGGGACGCCGCTCAATCGGTCACTTCCCTCCGTGTCCCCAGCCTTGTTGCGGTGGGGGAGGATGTTTTTGCCGTTGCCGAGGCTCACTGCATGAAGCAGGACGAGGGGGCCGGCTGCGTAACTGGAATTGCGTCGAAGCGCCTCGAGCAAACCGCGGAGGGCGCTGCGATGGAGATCTCGGCGGCGGACACAAGACTCCTTTACACGCAACTTGTGGATGGAAGTGACGCGGCTGAGAAGAAGGCAATGAACATCATGCGGCCAACAACACTTGTGCGGGGCAACGAGGTCTACATGCTGCTGGGCAGACGTACCCGTACAGAGCCTGAGGAGCGGGATGCCGGAAAAACTGGCTGGAAGCTTGTGCTGGTGAAGGGAAGTGTCAGTGGAGACGGTGATAACGGGAAGAAAATCGTGTGGACTCAGACCCGTGCGGTGGATGCCGCATCTATAGGGTTTCATGGCTCCTTGACTGCGTTGTCTGGTGGCGGAGGCTCGGGCCTTGTGCTGGGCGACGGCACGCTTGTGTTCCCCATGCAGGGGATCAACAGGGAGAAAAAGAGCGTCTTGCTTGCCTTGCGCCTAACGCCATCGGGGGATAAATGGACGCTTTCGTCCGATACGACCGGTGCGGGCTGCAGGGACCCGTCCATCGTGGAGTGGGGGGAAGACGGAAGCCTCCTCGCGATGGCTCCCTGTGAGAGGGGCTCCTACGACGTCTATCCGTCAACTCCCCGTGGTGTAGCTTGGTATAATGCGGGTGAGCCAATTTCGCGCGTGTGGGGCACCTCACTGAACCGGCAAGGAGGGGACGGCGTGCAGAGCGGCTTCGTCACGGCAACCTTCGAGAATAAAAAGGTGATGCTCCTCACCACGCCGGTGTACTCGGAAGAGGAAGGCAAAGAAAAAGGTCGTCTGCATCTTTGGTTGACTGATAATTCCCGCGTGCACGATGTCGGACCGGTGTCCGCTTCCGGTGATGACGCTGCTGCCAGTTCCCTGCTGTACAGAAGCGGTGCGTCGGAGGAGTTGATTCTACTGTACGAGAAGAAGAAGAATGGAGACTCTTACGGCCTCGTATCTCTGAGCCTGGCAAAGCAGCTGGAGCAAATCAAGTCCGTGGTGCAGACCTGGAAGGAAATGGACGCCGCCTTGCAAAGCTGCACTTCCTCTGCCGCCGTTGGCACGCGGATAAATGGCGTGTGCAACGGCCCTGTCCCCACCAGAGGGCTGGTGGGCCTTTTGTCCAGCACACTGGCCGGGACTGCGTGGGTGGACGAGTACCTCGGCGTGAACGCGACTGTGAAAGGTGGGGCGGCGACAAGCGAGAAGGGAGGTGTGACGTTCAGCGGCGCCGGAGCGGGGGCGGAGTGGCCCGTGGGAAGCAGGGGGCAGAACCAGCCGTACTACTTTGCGAACAACGGATTTACGCTTGCGGCGACGGTGATGATCCACACGGTGCCGGAGGCGGACACGCCTTTGCTGGGCGTGAGGATGAATGACACGGTC